TGGAGAGGGAGGGGGGTAGAGAGATCACTTGATCGTTGCCCGTTAGGTTCCCCCCCTCTGGGGCCCCTGCCATTGGCCACTGTCGGTAGACAGGATACTGGGCTAGATGGACCTTTGGTCTGACCCGGTACGGCCTTTCTTATGTTCTTATGTTCTCTTCTAAAAGGTTGCCGACCCCTGTTCTAGGGACTTCTTTTTTAAAAGGAAGTTAATAATTATTGATGGGCCTCCCTTTACTTATTTATTAATTGACATGTCTAAGTGACTTTGTGGGCATGCTTTCAAGTCTACTTATGAAATTTTCAGAATAGCAAACAAAATCCCATTTTTTCACATATCTTCTGTTTCAAACTCTGTGGAATATTTGGTATTTTATTCCTGATATCACTGCTTCCAACAGAGTTAATGGGAAAGTATGTCAAGGCTACAAAATTATTATTATCATTACTTATTTAACTGCAAGGAGGCATCTGATCCTAATGCTTTTAGAATTCAATCATAGAAACAAAAGGAGTCCGATGCTTCCTACATGTGTATTTCATGAACTACGGGGAAAATGGTTATATTGTTTTCATACACACAAGTAACCATATTATTCCAGTCTAAATTTTGTATTAGCATTTTATTTTAGATTAAGGAAAATAACAAAACAAGGAAGAACAAAAGCTAAGTGTTCATGAGATAATACATAGTTAGTATTGTCTCTGTAAAATGCCACATCAACTATGCCTGACAAAATGGCAGCAGTTCCTACAGACCACCAGTTTTCAATATTTACAGATGTAGTACAAAGAAAACAGTTGCATAGCTAAACCCACCCTTTCTGATGTCATGGTCTCTCTCTGATGTCTGTTCACATGATGCTACTTATTGCTTTCATTACTGGATGGTACACCCTTCCCCTTTTGCTACTGATTCTGTTTTTGAATGATGTTAAAAGCTTAGAAACATTGACTGGCTGCAGTTCTGATGTCATTATTTGGGTGGCATTATATTATAAGGGGCGGCTCTGTTGCAGCAAGCTCATCTATACTAATCCCCGCTACATAAATCTTTCATATTTTTTCTGTTTGGATTTTGGAATTGAATAGGGATGACATCATTCATAGTGACTGTAAGAACTTTTTTTTTCCAGATTCCCTTTAAAATATTTTGTAGACTAAAATGGGGGCAAAAATCCCTCCCCCTTCTCTCTCTTCTGCCATATTTTTAAAAACATAAAACTCCAAACCCATCATTTAATCTTCTTCACTCTCAACTAGCTTTTCAAAAGAGCTCAAAGATGGATTTTTCAGTGCTCCATGCCCACACCTGGGGCCACATTTTCAAAAGAGCTCAGCACCTAGCAGCTCCCATTGAGATACTTATGGCCAAATGACTTCCAACATGCTGAGCTCTTTTGAAAAACTGACTATTCCTTTTGGTGCTTAAATGGGAGCCGAATTCTTGTGCGGGATGGGGAGGAAATCTGGCTGATTATGGATGCTGAGTCCTTTTGAAAATTCTGTCCTGTAGCTCATGATGGGAGGTTAAACTAAATGAAAGTGAACCTTTCTGGTGCAGGCAGCTAAATTGCAAATCTGCCCCCAG